CGATCACTTTTTCGTGCATCAGTATATATATATATATATATATATATATATATATATATATATATATATATATATATATATCGCAGACAGTAATGTTTCGCTGTATCACAGCTCCTCAGTGCGACTAGACATGCGAATACCTCAAGCCCGGATCGAAACCCAAACAATCAGAGTTTCTACCACTGAGCTATCTTCATTCGGCAGAGAGAAAGAACTAAATCTAGCGTATTGTTTTTACGAATGTAAACAAATGCCAATCAGCCAGAGTGCTCCAATTCATTTTACGGAGGAGCTTCGCATTAAGGCAGGTGAATATAAAATTAGCATATCAATCAATATATATATATATATATATATATATATATATATATATAACAAAATACAAAATTACCTCACTTGAAGATATATCTAAATCAATTAACGCAAAATACATTAGTCTTATTCAACACCGGTGTATGGACTGCGTTCAGTGCCAGAACTAGAGATTTAGAATGTAATGTTGACGGCTGTCGAAAAATTGACATAGACCCTGCCCATTTCGACGCCTCAGCCAGACGAAATGCTCGTGTTGGCGGGGGGTAGGTATCAGTCTAAAATCAACCCAGATATTAACCTTATGACCTTAAATTGGGGTTATATGAAGACTGGGATGTTATGTTGAAACTAAAAGAATAAGAGTAACGTATTTGGCATTGCTTGAAACAGATCTGTCCCTATGTGAGATAATTTTGGATTCTGTTGTGTAATTTATGTGGTCTGTTACCATAAATACATTGAGATCTTTTTGTGGATCAGTTTTAATATTTGATATTACTAAGATCCACTTGGATTATATACCAACGGATGATTTATTACCTGTACTATATATATATATATATATATATATATATATATATATAATAGCTGGCCACTCGTAATCGAGGATACTCGTCTACTTGGCCGGCGAGTCAGTCCCTATTGCAGAACCTTGCTCAACGCCCACAGAGCCCACATGTAGTTTATACTACAACTATGCTGAGAAAACCATAGTTACATTTTCTGGAAGAGAGCGTGGTCAACTATTTCTACAAGGCGAGCACGCTCAGTCTCTCGGCCACAATGACTTGTAGCTTTTTGATAGCGCAGCTATCGACGTCTCACAAGAGTTCCGTGTATCCAATTTTCACTGACAACTCAGTTTGGTTTTTCAGGCACTTTCCAAAGATGCTGCACGCTAGGATCAACCTCGACCTCGACCCAGTCCCATAAAATGAAGAAGTCTCCTTCCAGACAAATCAAACCTGCGTCTAATGGTGAGAAAACGAATGTTCTAATCACTCGGCTACGCTCCAATATAAATATTTTAATCTTTAGCTTTTATTCTTTATATATATCAATTCAACAATAGCAAAATCCGCAACTAACCAGTTTTATGAAACAACAACCATGAGATGTTTAAGAAATTCATATTTCTCATTAATTTAAACGTTTTTTGTGGATACTCGTGTTTAAGTAGACGTCCTCCTTTTCTAAAAGTTTGAAATTGTATCGACAAGACGGTGCATTCAAAGGAATTTAAAGAAAATATGAACGTATGTTGAAAACTTCATAGGCTAACTATAAAGGAATGATGCAAGAATCGCGAGATCTCTTCTTATTAATAACTGCATTGTTTCTTTTTAGGTAAATTGACATCTGACAGTTCAAAGAATATTTCAAAAGTAACTACTAGCGACTCCTCATGAAAATGGACAAAATTTAGCATCGGGGTGTTATCAAGCAGCCGCAATAAAAAGGGTTTAGCCACCCCCCCCCCCCAATGACATTTATATTGACATGGTTGTTACATTAGGAGATAACACTCCAGGTTTATCAACAGTGCAAAAGTGTGCAGCTGAATTTAGGAGGGGAAGGGTGAGTGTTGAGATGAACCAAAGTCTGGATGTCCTGCAACTGACATCACTGAGAAAATCACTGATCGTTTTCACCACATAATGATGGATGATAAGCGAATGACTATAAATCAAATTGCCAGTTCTATTAGGATATGCCGTGAGAGAGTTGAACTTGACATGACGAATGTTTCTGCTCGTTGTGTGCCACGACTTCTGACATCTGATCAAATGCACACCAGGCTGATCGGATCACGGAAAATTATATTGTTAAAGGGAACCCAGGATGAGTGTTGGGTTCATCAATTTGAGCCGGGAGACATAGAGAAAATCCATGCAGGAAAAATATCCCACCTCAGCTGATCTAAAGAATGGAAGGTGATGGCCTAAGTTTTCTTTGGATAAAAAAGTATTGCACTTATTGACTTTTTTCAAAATTGCATACCGTCAATACTGGGGCAATTAGGAAAAGCTATCAAGACGAAACGTACAGTAAAATTGGTTCGTCAGGACAATGATTTGAACGCGTTCATCACCCTCCCTATTCTCCTAATTTGGTGCCATCTGATTATCACCTGTTCCCCAACATGAAAAACACTTAGCTGGTAACTAGTATCTCATTGAGGGTGATATTATATCTGTTGTTGATGGCTGTTTTGACTAACAGTAAGAAAGCTTCTTCAGCTAAGGGATCCAAGAACCTCAACACCAATGGAAGAAGTGTTCTGAACTCAAGGGGACTACATCGAAAAATAAACCTCAATTGGTCAGCCTATGAATTTTTCAGGCGAATCTCGTATATTCGCAAAATACATTCTCAAAATTGAAATTTTTAAATGCAGAATTTTATAATAATAGGGTTTAAGCCGTAAAGACATTCATGCTGAAACAGGTGTTACATTCGTGGAAAACATTCCAGCTTTATAAACAGTGCAAAAGTGGGCAGCTGAATCTAGGATGAGAAGAGAGAGTTTTGAAGATGATCCAAGAGCTGGACGTCCTGCAACTGTCACCAGCGAGCAAAATATTCATCCTCTTCCTCAAATAGTGATGAATGACAGGCGATTGACTATAAAATCAAATTGCTAATGGTACTAGCATATCCTATGAGAGGGTTAAGAATATTTTGTATAATGAACTTCGCATGACGAAGGTTTCTGCTTGGTGGGTGTCACGTCTTCTGACACCTGATTAAAATCTCACAAGCTGCCATATCACAGGAAAATCTGATATTGCTTGAAGCAGCTAAAGCATGTTTCCTTGAACGTCTAACCCAGAGTGAATGTTGGGTCAATCACTTTAAGGAAGAGAGAAAGAGACAATCCATGCATTGGAATCACCCCTCCACATCTGTTTCAAAAAAGAGTAAGATCGTTTCATCTGCAGGGAAGTTGATGGCCACAGGTATTGTGCTTATTGACTATCTTCAAAAGGGCCACGCCATCAATGGAGAGTACTATGCCAACTTGCTTGAAAGACTATCAAGGCTAAACTTCCATAAAAACTGACGAAGGCGGGGGGGACTTGTTTTATCAGGACACTGCTCTAGCACATAAGTCTTTGGTTTCAATGGCTATTGCGCATGACTGGGTCTTTGAACTGAGTGATCATTCCCTCTATTCTTCTGATTTATCCTTTTCATATTTTCGTTGGGCACCAGTATCGTTGCAATGATGACGTCATACATGCCCTTTGATCACTTTTTTTGATCAACAGTTTGGTCCGTCTTCTGAAACAATTTAGTCATTAATAAGAATACTTGAAATCAATGAATGCAAGATTTCACAGTTGTAGCACAATTCCTTCATAGGCAATGAATTTTTCAGCCCACTCTTCGGAGTCAAACAGGTTCGAACCTTCGTCCTGTTTTTTTATAGGCGAAACGATATTCTAATCCCGGCATGCTTTAGACCACTGAGCCACAAATAGCTTTAGTGCCTAACAGGGTTCAATTACCCACTGAAGGAATGCGCATAGTCATATTGAAATCTTCTCAAAAGCCCATATCACCAAATTTATTTTCGTTATTTCTAAAGAATCAAAGGATTTTATTTTCAGTTCGATAATATTTCTCATTTTTTTAATTTTTTTTTTTTACTACGGTCTTGTGCATTCGCAAGAACTAATAAAAAAGGGAACGCACTTTCGAATCTTACCTTAGAGCACATTTTCTTTATTAAGTCACTCGAATTAACATGTAATTCATGCTGTTAGAAAGACAGAGCGTCGACTCAAACACGTGCATCCACTAAAATAATACGTTTGTGATCATATATGGATTCTCATTTTGAAACGAAAGAAAAAATTTAATTCCTGGTCAAAATACACAGATATTTTGTCAAGATAACAGAAAGCCTGGCACAAGACCATATTTATGTAGCGCTCGGTTAGGCATAAATTAAATTTGATAGAATACTCATCGAATTTTGCCGATTAAGTCGATGTATTTAAAGCCAAATACACAAAAATATATCCTTGTAGAAACATGAAAATCTACAAATGAAGGGCTTCTCAGTAGTTCGTAGAATTTAAGTACACTGTTCATCTCACTATTTATTCATGGTTTCCCGGGTCTTGCTGGATATTTCATTTATCTTTTGAAATTGCTCGACCCCAAATTAAAAAGCCTTCGAATTCTCTCAATTTCACTTTTTATGGTGAAATCTATTCTGTGCCTGAAATTCCACCAACGTTTTATATATATATATATATATATATATATATATATATATATATAATCCAGTATGTATGTATGTAAGTGGATATATGTGTAGATAGATGAAGATGTATACATTTTGAGGAGATAATACTCCTAAGCTCCATGTTTCAAATGCTTTATCTAACACAGGCAGATAAAAAATGAAAAAGTGGGGAATGCGAAAGAATATGTTCCTCTCGTTGTTTTCCCGTTTGCTTTTCTGAAGAACAGTCATGCAAAAGTTGCGCAGCCATCCTCTAATTCCTTCTCCCACCCCTGTGGTGCCCACCCACCGCCGCGACCCGGGCGCTTGGTTTGCAATCTTTGCATTTGATCACTGCAAGTGAGATCCCGCCATCGACGTAGATCAAATCTCTTCCGAGCGAAAGGATTCCGAATTCAATTGTGTGCGCATTGCTGATGTTATCAAGTCAAGAATATCCCTGGAGGGAGAGAGAAATGGAAGAAGAAGAAGAAGAAGAAGAAGAAGAAGAAGAAGAAGAAGAAGAAGAAGAAGAAGAAGAATCATTTTGTAAGAAGAGAAAGAGAGGATGAAAAAGAAAAAGGAGTGATTGAATTATTAAAGAGGAAAACAAACGTAAAAATGAGGAAGAAAAAGAATAATTTAATAGTTTGATGCATAGAGATGGAAAAGGAGACTGAATTAATGAATAATAATAATAATAGTAATAATAGTACAAGTAAAATATTGTGTTTAAATAATTGCAAAACAGAATGTAAATGAGTAATATTACTGATAATAATAAAAAGTAGTAGAAGAAAAAGAGAGAAAGAAACAAATACAGAAAGAAAAAGAAAAAGAAGTGAAAAAGAAGAAGAAAGACAAAGGAATGACAGAAGATAGAAAAAAGAACATGAAAAAGAAAAAATAAAGGAAGAAGAAAAGAGAAGAAAGAAGATAGAGAAAAGAGAAGAAAGAAGAAAAAGAGGTAAAGTAGAAAAAAGAAAGATGAAAAAGAAAAAATAAAGGAAGAAGAAAAGAGAAGAAAGAAGATAGAGAAAAGAGAAGAAAGAAGAAAAAGAGGTAAAGTAGAAAAAAGAAAGATGAAAAGAAAGAAAGAACAATAAAAAGGAGAAGACGTTCATTTTTAGAAAGCGAAAAAAAACTAAACAAAAAAAAAAAACACAATAAAAAACACGAATTCAAAAAGAATTATCTCAACGCGACTGAAAGGAAGAAACGGGAAATGATATGGAGGAGAAAAAAAATCACCCCAGTTAAACAATTTACCAGAAATAAAAGAAATTATTTGGGACGAGGAAAAATGCAAAAACTGAGCCGATTTTCCGACGCAAGTCGTTGTTTGAATCTTGTCATCACGAATGCGGCAGAGTGTTTTTGTGGATAGAGAGAGAGAGAGAGAGAGAGAGAGAGAGAGAGAGAGAGGGGGAGAAACGCTGTGCGTGTGTCTTTTTGTTCATGTGCGTGCTTGTGTGTGTGTGTGAGTGTGTGTGTCTGAGAGAGAGAGAGAGAGAGAGAGAGAGAGAGAGAGTGACTAAGTAAGCGATAGAGTGAGTTGCTAGAAGATAAAGGAAGGTTTTATATGCACAATACTTATTGGAAAGTGCTCAATATCAATGATAGAGCAAACAGATTCAGTTAACGGGTTTAACGCACTGAAGATCGCAAAAGCGTAAAACCCTGGGTCACAAACTCATATCTATACTACTGAATATATATATATATATATATATATATATATATATATAAAATAAAATAAAAAAGGCTTACAGTTGTAGGTCTGATGAATTGGATCGTATTTACGATTCCAATGTAATAAATTATGACCATGGAATATTAGTGTTTAAGCCTTTTTATTATATCCTTACTCTGCCCTGGGCATTGAGTTCTACCTTGATTCTATCATCTTGGAATTCTTTATTCAAAAAAATATATATGTATTTGTATGCATGTATGTATATATATTTATATATTTTGCATATGTAAGTTTATATTTACCACTAATATTATCTATATACATATATGTATATGTATATATATATATATATATATATAAAAAGAGAGAGAGAGAGAGAGAGGGGGGGGGGGGAGATGACCATTAGAAAAGTTAAAAATACAAACTTTCAGAAATATCAAGAAGATGCCTGTTTGTAAAATGAACTTTTGGAACAGAGGACAGGTCAAAATAAGTCATGTGACACGTATTCAACGTTCGTTCGAAAAACTACTTTTGTCATTATCTATTATTCGGGCTTATCTGCAGTTTTCATAAAAACACATATTGCAGACATCCTAGCAAAAGGTCAACAATGTTTGTTCATTTAATTCTTAGCTAAATATCCACCATTTTAAATGTCTTCTTAAAACTTTACAAAATTTAAGATATGCTTATTTATATTATTTACATTTTATCCTCATCTTCATTGTCATATTACCAGAGTTTCGGCCGTTATACGCTCCGGCCTTAATGTTTATGTCTCTCTGTATATATATATATATATATATATATATATATATATATATATATATATATATATATATATATATATATATCTGAGATGAGGTATTATGATTATTTACATTATTTACATTATTAGGACTGTTATCCGCACCTTCATTGCCATATTCACAACGTTTTGGCCATTGTACGCTTCGGCCTTTATGCCTCTGTCTCTCTCTATATCTGTCTATATCTCTGTATTATGATTACTTGCATTATTTATATTATCTGTGATTGTTATCCTTAAGATATGATGCTGAGATTTCTATAAATAAAAATTCGTCTTTAAACTAACTTACTTCGTAAGGAGTAGAAATGTAAATTATTCAAAGTAAATGGCCAAAATTCAGAAGGACTAATAAAAATTAATTTGTGATAAACTCTAAGAAAGCATTTCTGTCATAATTTCGGAAATATTTTTCCCATATTTCCTGTTATTCTCCGACCTTCATCAGGTGATTGTCGATCTGGGTGACCTTTAGGGAATTTCGAACTTCCGCCTTTATTTAATCGACGGAGTCAGAAAGATTTCGTTTACGCTGTCTCGGGATATTCTTATTAATATTTCTCATTTATTGCTCTCCCCGTTTTCCACTTAGAAAGTCAACCTTTTGATTATGCTATTATTTTCCCTTTTTGTTACATCTTCTATTCATTTTAATTGATAAGGCTTTTGGAAGTCTTCAAATTATATGGTTTCTGTTATGTGATAAAACACTTTCTGAGTTTATAGGGTCTGATTAAGTTCTGTGTTATTTTTTAAAGAAATAAAGGATTCATTCACTTGAAGACATTTTCAACCAATGTGTATGGTGCGTGTTAGTGTGTGTATGTGTGTGTGTATATATGTTAGCAAAGTGAAACGGAACGTGGGTAGTGTAATAATAGACGGCTGTGAAGATTATGAGGTTAAATTATAGTGGCTCTTAGTAAACGGTTTCTTCATAACGATATTTTCATTAATGGAAATCTCAATAAAAAATATTTTCTACGTTTCCTGAAGCTAAAATACCTTTATTAGGTTTTCTCGAGAGTAAAATTTAGAGAAATATGTGGGTTGAATTAACAACTGTATTTTTCAAGGTGACAGAACATAAGAGTATTATTGAGAGATTTGGATAATTGTGGGTTGTCTGGTTTATGGATCTTTACTTTACCATATACATAGCCGGGGTATTTGTTTAGGGTGTGTGTAAAAGTTTCCAGATATGTGCGTGTATGCCCTTGAGAAAGCAAGAGACCGAGAGAGAGAAGGAGAGAGAACAAGAGAGAGAGAATGGGAGGGACAGAGAGAGCGAGAGAGAAGGAGAGAGAGAGCGAGAGAGAAGGAGAGAGAGAGAGAGCAAAAGAGAAAGAGAGATAGACAGAGAGAGGGAGGGAGAGAGAGTGAGTGAGAGAGCAAGAGAGAAATAGCAAGAGAGAAAGAGAAAGAGCAAGAGAGAACAAGAGAGACAAGGAGAGAGACAGAGAGGAAGAAAGAGCAAGAGAGAAATGGCAAGAGAGAAGGAGAAAGAGCAAGAGAGAACAAGAGAGACAAGGAGAGGGACACAGAGAGAGAAAGAGAGAGAGAAGGAGAGAGTGAAAGAACAAAAGAGAAAGAGAGAGCAAGAGAGAGAGAGGGAGCGAGTGAGAGAGCAAGAGAGAGAGTAGGAGCAAGAGAGAGAGCAATAGAGGTGGACAGAGACGGCTAGAGAGAGAGCAAGAGATTGGTTGAGAGACAGAGAGGGGGGCAAGAGGGAACAAGAGAAGGATTATCTTATCACAAAGCTCTTGACGCTTATTATGTCATTCCATGTGTAGGTGTTGACTGTTGACGAAAGGCTTCTGCCATTTTTACGGTTTTATCTTGAGGACATCAAATCGCTCATTCAGTCTTCGGATGTGATATTAATTGGCAATGATTTTTACGGTCATTATTCTCACCACTTTTCGTCACACAAAATATTTTAATAATCACTTGCTACTTTCCAAATGAGCTTTTTTTTCTCCATTTTTCGATTTTCTTTGCATTTTTTACCCATTTGTTCTGTCATTTCAAGTTTTAACTAAACGAATTTGTTCGACATTTTCCTATCGAAATTTTCATCAGTAAAACCTTTCTTCCTTTTGGTGTTTTCTTTATAAACCAGAGAATCATTTTTACAGCAGAATTTCGCAAAGAACATGAATCAAATAAAATCGCCCCCGCCTCACATTCCTCTGAAGCACATGAAGAGATATTTTAATTTTGCTCAGCAATGAAAAAACAATCAACCAAGATCAATGTAACAAATAAAACAGTAGATTGTATAAGTTAAACATAGATCAAAGATAAATATGACTGTGTAGGAACGGTAATCTATTGAGAATTATGCAAATTACGCCGGTTTCATCATGGAAACATAAAACAGGCAGAGGTAAATATAAGAAGTCTTTCGTGGAAGAAAAAGTAAAATTCATTTAATTCAAATGGAAATTCTAATTCAGAGAAGGGGCCATATTTCTTCAATCGAACGTAAAGTTCCATGAAGTGAAATTTATGGAACGTGATTATGAAACAAGTAGCTTTTTCTGATCCATTGTTTCTATTGAGATGATGAGTCAGAATGTGAATTCTTTTCTATTTCCGCCAACCAATTAAGGCACTGCGACTGACAATGGCAAGTTGGCATCAGTCAATGTTCATCGTTTATTCAAAATCATCATAGAAGTTCCTCGCAGTTTCATCCATGACGCCTTGGACCGGTTCATAAAAATGATTTAAAGAATTAATCAGCGTTTTTAAATCAGCAAAAATATGTAAAGTTGCAGGCGTATTGAGGGGATTTGCAATCATTTCAAAACCTACCTGTTAGTAACGGCTGGAAGAAAAAAAAAATGAAAACAAATAAGTTAAGATCCAGATTGACTGACGCATCAAAATATGAAGATTTGCTCCGAAACAGACGACTGATCAGTTTTGGGATGGAGTCGTGATGGCGGACAGCAAATGTAAAGTCGACAGAAAGCGAAAAATTAGAAAAATACGAACACCTTGACCAACAACGGAGAAAGATGTGAAATGTGGAGGTTAGGGTCGTGCCTGTAATAAATAGCGCACTTGGAATAGAGCCAAAAGACGAAATGGAATTATTATTAGTCTCCTGATTACCGTAAGCCTGGGGCCTTCTTGGATACGGCGAAAGGTGTTGCAAATTTTGGAGACCCGATATTCAACGATAACCACTTGATATCCGGTCGGGACAGGGAAAAGTATAAAATATAATAATGATTAATAAATGCCAGACCTTCCATCACTACTACTACTACTACTGCTACTACTACTACTAATATAACGGCTGCTCCTGCAGCTGCTGCTATTCTAACAGCTCAGTATCGGGCCATTCTGCATTTAATAACTAGAAGAGAAATTTGCCGCTTCCTTTATGAAGTGCCATATAAAGTGGAATTATCATGTGCTGTAGACGGCGTTCGTTAAGAGAGACGTGCTCTCTCTCACTTTCGTAAATTGGTTTGACGTTGAAGAAACCAGTTCAAAAGGGGAGTTAATATAGACTTGACTGCTTTTGAAAAAATCTTTTTGCTTCTTCCTTCCGCTTTTGTTTTTCCTTGCAAGTTTTGTTATGATTTAATGTGGGTAGAACTTTGCCCGGTCACGTCCAGGATACATTCTCTCTCAGTCCTCATGGCCCGCACGAGCCACTTCCAAACCCAGGCGGGCAAGCAATAGCATACACACACACATCAATATACACATACACATAAATATACACACATTATCTATCTATCTATCTATCTATCTATCTATCTATATATATATATATATATTTGAGAGAAAGGGAAAGAGAGAGAGAGGCAGATAGATACGCATATAAGCACATAGTTGCACATGAAATTGCTTATCAAACACATAAAACGGCGGGAGATACACATGCATTCACATACATACATGCATGCACACGTAATTTATATAGGCATGTACATAAATAAACGCAAACGCATGCACAGTCCAAAACATGATTCATACTTATCCAAATAAACATATCTGCACTTACTATACACACACACACACACACACACACACACACACACACACACACACACACACACATATATATATATATATATATATATATATATATATATATATATATATCCGAATGTAATGAGAACGAAAATAATACAAATTATAACGTTCACAGCATTAATTCAAAAGTGGGCTCAATACCAAGAGTAGACCAATAATTATTTTTTCATACGGACAAAAACAACTTACTCACTACAAAGATGCATTCTTGTTTCGATGCGGCTGCATCCCGACTGCTGAGAACCAAAAATGTTTATGAATAATTCTATTTACAAGGAAGCATCTTATCGGGAAAAACATACGAAGAAACACCTTAAGAAGAAAAGGAGAAAATTAAAGGAAAGGGAGAAAAGATAAGGAAAGGAAAAAGGGTGATAGAGTAAGACAATATTATTTGTTGATAGCAGTTTGGGCAGTGAAGGAATGTTGAGGCGTTAAGACAAGGGTTTGGCACTAAAAGTTTAAAAACAAAGCCAAAGTGTGAGCTACAGCTTTTAATACCGTGCAACGGTCAGAAATCTAAGGAAAGTACACCAAAACTCCCAAGAAAAAATGAAAAAAAAAGGGATAGGTGGAAATAGAAAAGAGGAAAAACGATAAAAGATATAGTAGAAATCAATATACGGGAAAGCCATAGTAGTAATTGAAGACGCTTTTTTTCCTATGGGGGCCGGGGATCTTAAAACAAAACCAGAGCTGAATTACACAGATTTATGCCTAAGTTTCTGTTACTTTTTCTGGATTAAACGTAGTATGTAAATTTATAAATGGTCATTTAAGTGGAAAGGTTAAATACATAAGTTATTTGTTTGTTTTTTTTTACAATAAATTTTAGTTCAAAGTTTAAGATATATAAGCAAAACGACATATAAAGTATGAAATGTTAATATAAACTTTTTAAAACAAATTTTGACCTATTGCCGAACTGTATAACTTATAGAATAAGTATGAATATAAATCAATTTATCTGAAACTGTCGCTAGTATTATAAATGTGCAGAAACAATTTAGAATCATAATCTAAGATAGATCAGTAGGAAAATATATAAGAAGGTAGAAAATATATAAAGGAGATAAATTATAAATTTGAAAGTTTAGCAAGATTGCAATTTTAGATGTTTAATGTGCCTACAAAAACAGTAGTTTCAAATCTTTGATTTAATAATTGACGGATTCAAAAGCTCAATAACACATATTTTTCCTGCTTGTTTTTATAACAAGCTTCGTTAAGAGATTTGCAAGTTCTGGCTTGTTTGAAGATTTTCTATTTAACATTAAAATATAATCCAAATCAAAATATATATTTTTTTAAATGTGTTATTGATGACGGATACAGATAGTTATTATTTTTTCGTTTCGGATGCTACCTGAATTTTACAAAAA